CACTTATACCTGTATTATAATCACATGAGTATAACACACACACACACAAATAAGAGGACACAGCAATGAAGATAATTAAATACTATACTAACGAGACTGTATACCACACTCTAATGTAGTGGCTTTTAACGTATAATGCATTATTTACTACAGTTTATCAACTTACTATATATATACTGGAGTATACAGCAGTAACATGAACTGAATACTACAATATACTCCTGAAATACCACATTAAAAATGATAGTTTATAGTAAATACTGTAGTGTTTTTTAACCATGCTACAGTAAAGTACACTAATTGATCTGTTGTGGTGATTCTACAGTCGCTACGGTAACACAACAACTACACTAATTGATCTGTAGTGGTGATTCTACAGTTGCTATGGTAACACAACAACTACACTAATTGATCTGTTGTGGTGATTCTACAGTTGCTATGGTAACTTCAACTACAGTAATATAAACAAATGAGCCAGTGCTGTAGTGCTTTACAGCTGTAGGGTATATCATACTACAATACACCACAGTTTGCTGTAGTAAAAACTAAAGTATACTACAGTACGTAATACATTTGTAAATGGCTACTGTACAGTGTACTAACACACTTGTACTTTAGTATTGTACAAAACACTATAGTACTTACTATAAATTAGTACCTAGTACAGTTCTATATGGGTATAGGCTTCTACAATTTCCCACATTAAATCATGAAGTGCTCTATGGTATTGTTTAGTGTGTATACCAGGAGAGAGAGAGTGTGTGTAGGGTGTGTTCAGATGTGCGGCCGCGCTGATTGTATGTATGTGTGTGTGTATGTGTCACCTGTATGGCTGTGTATGTGTGTGTGTCACCTGTCGGACTCTGAGCGCGTTGTGTCGGCTGATCTTCCTCAAGCTCGTGGAGATCTCCAGCAGCAGCAGCAGCAACAGCAGCCGAGGGACGGAGAACATGCTGAAACACACACACTCATACACACACACTCGAGCACCTCTAAGACTCCACACACACACTCATACACTCTCTCTCTCTCTTCAGTCTGGAGGAGGAGGAGAAACGCGAGAGTGACGCAAAACTCCGGAATCCGCCGCCTCGATCAAAAGGTCACCCACTTCCGCCTTAAAATACCCAAATACAGGCAAAAACATGCACACGCGGGAAAACACTACACTGATTTATAGAGCACAGTGTTTTTACCCATACTATAGTAACGTGCATTTTACTCTACAGTATTTGCAGTTCTTTGATAATGAATGTGCCAGCATGCTGCAGTGTTAACTATAGTGAACTGATAAACTAATACTGTAGAGTACTCGAGTGTTTACTGCAGTAAACTGTGGTGTGTTGTACTATAATATATATTACAGTTATTATACAGGTCATCTGTTTATATTACTGTAGCAGCTGTAGAATCACCATGACTGATCATTTCCTGTAGTTGTTGTGTTACCATAGCAACTGTAGAATCATCACAGCAGATTGATTACTGTAGTTGTTGTGTTACCATAGCAACTGTAGAATCACCACAGCAGATTGATTATTGTAGTTGTTGTGTTACCATAGCGACTGTAGAATCACCACAACAGATTGATTACTGTAGTTGTTGTTACCATAGTAACTGTAGAATCACCACAGCTGATTGAAGTGCTTTACTGTAGTATGGTTTGAAGGCACTGTAATATTTACTATATGTTACTATAGTATGTTTTCATGCTGGATATTAGTAATGTAATAGTTATAAACACATTATGTATAAGTATTTTCCCCAAATGTGCTTCTTAAGTACTCTTAATATAATGGCACAGATTAGTGTCAACACATACACCGATTTCAAGTGTAGTCAGAAATATTACACCAGAATATTCAGATGGTACTGATAACCCTGCTGAAAAATCCAGCTTAAACCAGCCTAGGCTGGTTGGCTGGTTTTAGCTGGTCAACCAGGGTGGTTTTAGAGGGGTTTTGGCCACTTCCAGGCTGGTTTCCAGCCATTTCCAGCCTGGTCTTAGCTGGTTAGGCTGGGAGATGACCAGCTAAAACCAGCTTGACCAGCCTAGCAGCCTGGGAGCCCAGCCAAAACCAGCTATGTCCAGCTTAAACCAGGCTGGTCAAGCTGGTTTTTGCTGGATTTAGCTGGTCATTTTCCAGCCTGACCAGCTAAGACCAGGCTGGAAATGGCTGGAAACCAGCCTGGAAGTGGCCAAAACCCCTCTAAAACCAGCCTGGTCGACCAGCTAAAACCAGCCAACCAGCCTAGGCTGGTTTAAGCTGGATTTTTTAGCAGGGAACTGTATTAAGTGCTTTGATTATTTTATAGTGTTTGGGTTTTGATGTATAATGTGGAAATGTGCTTACGGTAATTACAGTGTTTCAGCAGTTATTGTCCACCAGGAAATGAAAAATCTCTCAAATAACAAGAACTCAAACTGATACGGGTTCAGGAAGCAAGTGTACATCAGTATATTATTAGATCAGATACGTCAGTCATAAACAGCCGCTACACTCCAGACAGCAGACTAACTACTATATTCACTATACCCTTTCAAAAGTGTCATCAGGGTAAGCACAGTTTTACTTCAAACACCACGCTTATACCCACTCCGCAATGTTGACACACTCTTGTGTGCTAGATATGCCACTGATGTTACTCTAAACCGTTTCTTCATAAGTTAATTATAAACACTTCACACAGTCAATAACT